TTCTCGGGGATGTCCGACTTCTTGGCATTCTGGATAAGGTCAGGGTGATCCTCCCTAGCCAGGGGACCAGAGCAAGGGTCAGCAGGGGCGCTGCTAAGGCAGACCCCAGCTAGCTGTCCAACCCAAGCTTTCTTTCTAGGCCTCCTGCTGGAGCTTAGTGGAAGTTAGTGGCTGGCAGCCTGTTCCTGCCCCTGAACCTGACACTAACAAGTCTACACAAGACTTCCATGTTTTGTAGATGGTTAGCTCTAGTCTCCAGCCAGTATCGTTTTATCCTACCACACCCATTGCCCCATGGCCCTCCTCTGCCTTACCTGAATCGGGCCAGGTTTCGCTCGAACTCCTGTTTCTCCCTCTGGAAGTCCTGAATATATTTCATCTGAGGGGAGGAGGGGACGGGGTCATCCAGGACCCAAGGGCTATTTCACCCAGAGCTAGAGAAGCCACCCTCCTGACTGTCTTGCCTTCTGCTAAGGTTTGGAGGTATGGTGTCTCTGCCCTCAGCGAGTCGAACTCACACTAGGCCTGGTGATGAATAACCAGACAGGGATTTACAGGGGTCTTCCTGACATCCAATTTCCATCCTACTCTCTTAAGACAAAATGTCCCAGAAGCCAGGGGACGTGGTATCACCACTGGGTGGACAGTAGCAAGCTAGGACTACACACCCCTTCCTCTAACACCACAGAACTCCCCTGGGTCTCATAGAACTCTTCTTGCTATTGCTCCCTCTTCCCACCCTGTGGCAGCTGATGTCAGTCTATCCCCTCCAAGATGCCTAATAGCACCAGGGAGGCTAAATTCTGCTTCTAAGGTAGGCGAGGACAGAGTTGAAGGTGTACAAAATGAATTCTTGCAATTTAAGTCCCACCCCAATGTCCTGAGTTTGAAGGTTCCCCCCCACATCAGCTGTGGGTCTCCAATATTCCTCATATTCCTGGTCATCAAGCCTGCCTGCCTCTGATCCCTTCCTCTAGGCTCCCCCAGAACTCTCCTTTTCCACCTTTCTTCTGGCATCCTGCATCCTGGTTCCCATGTAACAGACATTTCTTCCTTCCTTCCTCCCTGTATTGGAGGCTCACACCCAAACAGACCCCTCCTTGTAAGAGGAACCAGGTGTAAGGAGGCAGCTCATTTCCCCATGCTTCCCAATGAAGCCCTGGCGTAACCTCAGTCCTCCTCAGACAAGGCATGTCTGGGTTCTGGCTCATCCTCTACACCCCAAACAGGAGCAGAGTAGTAGAGTGACTTACCTGAAGCCCCGACACAGCCAGTTGGCAACAGGCAGTAGGAGACCCAAACAGGTATGCTCATGCTAATGCTTTTCCCACTCAGGTTCTCTGAACGCCCCTGACCCTGTTTCTTAGCCCTTTCCTCCCATCCCTTGGGGGTTTGGTGGCATGTGTAGTCACTGACCCAAGTCCTCACCCACAGGGTCACTGACAGTGGCTTTTATCCATCCAAGACTATTCCATTTTGAATTCAAAAACAAGGGTGCACAAGCACTTAGCCAGAGTGTGCAGAAAAATGGCTAATCAGTATGTTGGCTGGTGCCATTTGGGGGGCTTGATACCCACAACTTTCTGTCCTTCGTCCACCAGTGTGCATTTTTTCCTACACCTTCCTGCCTCTCACTGACGTCTCTCCTAGTCTCGCTGCCCATCATCTCCTCTTGGTGTTCAACGCTCTCCATCCTATTATTCTGTGAACTCTTTGTTGTTTAGAGTTCTTCTGCCTTCCAGAGAGCCTGAGCTGCCGGGCGGTGGTGGCGCACGCCTTTAATCCCAGCACTCGGGAGGCAGAGGCAGGCGGATCTCTGTGAGTTCGAGACCAGCTTGGTCTACAAGAGCTAGTTCCAGGACAGGCTCCAAAACCACAGAGAAACCCTGACTCAAAAAACCAAAAAAAAAAAAGAGAGAGAGCCTGAGCTGTCTTTGGCTTTAATGGCCAGGAGGTTTGGACAAGGACAACTTTAACCCATAAAGTGAAGTGTCCCTGATAATCTAATCAGAGGTCCATTTCTGTAGGGAACAGCCTGAGGCAAGGAAGAAAGACCATGACCTTCCTTATACTTGGGAAGCAAGCTCACTCCTGTGACTATGGCAGGAGAGGTGACTATGGTCAGAGACTCCAAATGCAAGTGGCAAGACCCAAGATACTCAGCACTCCTGCGCCCCAATTCCTTGCTCACAGACACGGGACAATCCACCAATCAATCCAATGCCCTTTCCTGCGGCCTCTTGGATGCTCAGTATCATAGTTAAGCAGAGAACGGCTGCACACACTGCCAGGGAGGATGCTTCAGTGTGAACGCTCAAAACACAGCACCGATGGCTGCGGGGTACAAGATCACCCTGAGTGCCTTCCAGGTCTTCCCCTTTAATGGGGCCTGTCTGACCTTAAGTCGCCTAGGAGGCGACAGATAACCACGGCCAGCCTCTACACACACACTCGGCTCTGCTGTATTAGCCATCCACACCCAATGTCGAGTGCCTTTGTCTAAGGCCTAGGCCTACCCCAGTGACCTACCCAAACCATCAGCTGCTCTCACCTGAAAGCATCTCTGCCCTCCCCCCATCTGAACTTCCCTCCCCCCACCTTCTTCTTCTCTGGAAGCTCCTTGTATTTCTTAGATAGAATCTTGGTCAGGTCCAGGTTGCTCATCTCAGGGTGGAGTTTCGCATATTTGGCCCGCTTCTCCATAAAGAAGCGGAAATAAGGTGTGAGAGGCTTCTTTGGGAAATCTGGGTGTTTCTGCAACAATAAAAACCTGAGGTTAGACACCAACCATTCTTTAGACTCGGACACCTGGGCTTCTCCTCCTGGCAACTCACCTTGAGTTTTTTGCCTTTGTAAGGATTTTTAACATGTTCCTGAGCATCAAGAATCAATTCCGTCAGTGTACGGAACTTCCTCACCTGAAGGAAGTAAAGAGAAAGGAAACTGGGAAATGCCACTTCCACAGTGCAGCCTTCTCTTCCAATCCCTCACCAGAGGGAGTTCACTAAATGAAACAAACCAACTGACTACAGTACAGTCAAACCTCTGACCCAGAGGCACTAGCTCATGCCCACTGCAGAGGTCCAAGCAGCGAGGATGCACGCAAGGGCAGTCACAACAGGAGGGACTGATTCAGTGTAGCTTCCATAGCTGTACCTCTTCGACCCCTTAGACTGGTTTGGGCCATAGAAGCCTAAGGCAGTAAGTATTCAAGGCCACTGAGAAAGAATTGAGTGCTAGGCTGTTGCTGGCAGCCAGACACAAATCAGAGCTGACAAATGAACACCTTCTGTCCACAACGACAGGTTTATTTCACTTTCCCCATTTCTCCTGATTTAAAAAAAAAAAAACAACAAAAAACCAACAACCAAGAAACGGAGATAAAAGCATAATGTGTATTCATGTGTCCAAAGTAGGGAATCAGTTATTACCTCATTAGAGATCTCCACCCATTTGAGCTTGCACATGTCTCCCGAAAAATCCTTAAACGCCACCTTTTCCCAGTCCATATGCGACTCTGTGGTTTTGAACTTGGAGCTATCGTTGGATGGAAGGTTGTTCTTCATGCACTCCAGCAAAGTCAGCATATCTTCCTGGGACCAGCGGTCTGGTGAGGTAAGGGAAGTCACCACACTGGCTCATGCCATTCTCTTCATGTTCCTCCTCCCAAAGCCCCCGGTTGCTTTTCATCTGAACTAGTGCATCCTTCCTTAGACCTGGCTCAGCCCTGTGGCCATACATGATTAGGGCAGGAGCCCTGGACCAGATACCACCATACTTAGCTACATCGGATATCATGTCTGGCTTACTCAAAACTATCATTTTTAACACGCTTGGTTGCTATGGGCCTCTTTTTATTTTACGAGATGGAGTGAAACTATTGTGATTTGGGGGTCCTATGGGTAAACGGCTCATCAGAAAGGGAAGGAGAGGAGGTAACGTTTATGTTCTAGGTCATGTTTTCGGTGGGTACCACAAGCATGCAAGGTCTGAGTTGAGGTGTGGATAAGGTACCCCATGAAGATGGATAAGGTACCCCATGAAGACGTCTCTCCAGTACTACTGGAGACTAACATTAAAAGACACTCTCAGTCCCTTTAATTCCAACATCAGAACCACACACAACAGCTTTGAGAAAAGTCATTCAGGTGGGTAGAATTCTCAGGGCCTTGATCCCTAGAGAACCCCAGAATTCCAAGTTGCCATCACAGCCCAACTCCTCAGCAAAAGGGCATCTCGGGCCAATTGTTTTCGGCTGAAGTGCAGCCTCGCCACAGCTCGGAGCCTCTCTGGAGAGTGGCTGCCCTGGAAGCTGAGCTGGGGGAATCCATGACCAGGATGCAAAGGAGCTCTTGGTTTTCATTTGCATCCAGTAACCTGGGCCAGGGTTTCAGCAGGAGTCACATGGACCCGTAATCCTCTTCCCTAATGTCTCACAAGCATTGCCAGATGCTCGCTTGGCTTCACAGATATTACACCGACAGCGGCGGCTGGGGCCTAGCCATCTATAGTTTGTTCGTCCGTATGCCTTGGGGTCCTAAACCACTGAACTACCCTAGCCCTCTCTTCCTTCTACCTGCCCCTGACGGGCCATCTTCTCTTCTAACGTGAGGGCATAATATATGAGGCTAACTGGGAACTGACCTACATGGGTCTTCCCTGCCCCTCACTCAAGCACAGCAGGAGAAGGTAAATAACATAAAAACTCCAGACTAAGTAACCTGGATTTATTTTAGTCAAACACAGAACTGACAGGAGCTTGACTCTGTAAACTTCAGACCCTCTCCCAGTTCACAGACTGCAGCACAGAGGAACCTTAGAAGCTGGTGAGTTCGTGTGAGAAAAATGAAGTTTAAAGGGCACAAGCTGGGGACCCCTACCTTGGCCTTTGGGGGCGGCCATTTCCAGGTCTGTGGGACAGTCTGCTTCTCCGTTCATTCTCCAGCTGTCCAGCCACCTCCTCGGTCGCGCTGGCCGGGCAACCCGGGGTCAAAGCCACCTCACCCTTTCGAAGAGATACAAAACCCACTCAGGTAGGAAGAGAGGAGAGGGACTTTCTATCCCACCCCCTCCCACAAGGGAGGGGGCATAGGTCCACACTCTCAGCGAGACCCAACCAGGAGGCTCACAGACTTCATCGGTGGGTGTAGGAGTGAGCTCCTCTCCTCCCTACTCCAGCCCCCAGACCCTGCAGCCCGGCTGCGCCGCATGCGCCCTCCCCTGCCCACGCGAGACGGCTCCCAGCTCCCGCGTGCAGCTAGCGCCCGCCCTCCGGCCTCCTTTCCCCGGCCCAGCACCCCCCCAAAATTTTTTTCTTCCTCCTCCTCCTCCTCCTCCTCCTCCTCCTCCTCCTCGTTGAGCGCCCGCCCCGGGGAGGCCCCAGGCTGGAGGGCGGGGGAGGAAGGGCGGGTAAAGGGCGCGCGCGGGCACGAAAGCGGGCACGCGCACCAGTCTCCTCCTCCCGCTTCCCCCCGGCCGGTTCCCCCCGCCTCCGCAACCCGGCGGGGACCCGGACGCAGCGCAGCCGCCGCCAGCCCGGGAGCGTAGCGGCCGCACCGCCCCCGGGGACCAGATCCGGATTCCCGCTTCTCCCCCACTTCCAACCTCCCAACGCGGTCGCCGCCCGTCCCGGCAGGCGAGCTGCCGACGAGAAGCGGCCTAGCCTGTCCCCCGCCCCCGAGCCACCCACCAGGGCCAGAGAAGCCGCCACCGCCCAGCTATCCCGACGCGCACGGAAGATGCCCGGCGCAGAGGCGAGACCGCGGCGGGAACGGCCGCCTCCTCCCGAGCCTGCGGCCCAGCCCTGCCGGCGCCCCCGCCCCGGCCTCCGGGGAGCCGAGCCAAGCAGAGGGCGGGAGGACGGCGGCCGCGAGGCGGGGGCGCTGCGCTCACCGGCCCCGCCGCCCCCTCCGGCGGCCGGCGAGAACTGCGCCTGCCGACCGGCCGGCCGGAGAAGCGCGGGCTCCTCCAACTGGGGCCTCGCTTCCTGCCCTTCCCACCCCCGATTTTCGGCGCCCTTCCCCGTGTCCCGGTCAGCTCGACTACAGTCTTCCCCGGTACCGCCGCCCGGCGTCCGCGGCTCGCTCCCTAGCCCAGGCCCCGGCGCACGTCCTCCGCCGCCTCGGTTACCCGGCGCAGCGCGGCCTCTGAGCTCCCCGCTCCGGCGGCTCCCTTCCCGGCTCTGAGCTAGCTCGGCGCCCTCCCCCGCTCGGCCGGGCACAGCCGCAACTCCCTCCCGCGGCGGCAGCGGCTCCTCCTCCGGGCGCGGCGGCGGCGCTGGGGCGGCGGCTGCTGCTGCTGTGGCGGCGGCGGCTGTGGCTGCTGCCTGCTGCTCCTCGCGGCGAAAAGCACAAAGCACAGCGCCCTCCGCCTGCAGGCAGCCCGCCCGCCGCCCGCCCGCCGGCCCCGGCCTCAGCTCGCACACCCCCCGCCGCCGCAGCAGCCTCCGCCGCCGGAGCGGGGAGGAGGAGGGAGAAGGGAGGAGGAGGAGCGGGAGGGGGGGCGGGAGAAGCGGGGCAGCGAGCGCGTCCTTCCCCGTAGAGCGCACACCGACCCCCGGGGAGCGAGCGCCAGCCCGCCCGCCTCGCCGGCTCCGCTCCCTCCCACAGCCTGCCCGGGCGGGCTCCGCGGGGGGCAGCTGGGAGGAGGGGCGGGCGCTGGGGGGACCCGGGCGGCCGAGGCGGAGGCAAGGAAGGAGGGGAGGGGGGTGGTGGTAGTGGCGGCGGCGGCTGCTGCTGTTGCTGCCGCCGGGGAAGGGGGGGGGGCCGGGGCAGGGAGACACGCAGCCGCCCGGATGGCGGCGGGGCTGCGAGCTTAGGCGGGCAGGCAAGCAGGCGGTGAGAGCGACCTCGCCAGCCCCGCGGGGGAACTAGCAGGCTTGGCCGGCGCGGGAGGGAGGGCCGAGGTGCGGCGGTGGAGAGGGTGTCCAGAGGGGTGGCCGGCGAGCCTCGCGGGTGCCGGCAGCCCTGCTCTAGAGCTCTCTTCCAGCTCTCCGAGCTTAAGCTCGGTCTTCCGGGCCAGCTCTCTCTCATCTGCTCCCTTCCGTCTCCTACCTCGGCGAGCGAGTGCTCGCCCACCCTGGTCCCCGGAGCGCGGCCACCAGCTTTGAGCTCACGCTCGCCGATCGCGGTACCAGGTTTCGGCGCCTACCACCCGATCCCCTTATCGCCGAGCGGCACTCATGGAACTTAAAAATATACTGCGAATCCCTTAAAAAAATAACAAAAAGCCCCAAATCCCTCTTGTTCCGCACAGCCGGAAAAACAGCCTGGAGCGGCCGGCCCCGGCAGAGCCAGGGAGCCGGTTCAATCCAGCCCGGCGTGACTCCCCTAGGCCTGCCCCGGGCGCGTGGAGCCCGGAGATTGGCGCCGCCGGAGAGCAACCCTTTTCCCCCGAAATCCGCCGCGCCGAAGGCCCACTTACCGAGCGTGTGGGTGCTAGTGAGGGCCGGGGGGACCTGGCACTCCGGCGGGCGGAAGAGCGGAGTCGCAGCTCCGCAGCTGCCGACGCCGGGGCAGCGAGTCTCCAGACAAAGCCCGAGATGGCGATGCGGAGCGACGGCTAATGGCGAGCCCCACGCGCCGCGCTCCGCCCGCCCCGCTCCGCCCGCCCGCCTCGGCGCAGCGCAGCGCCGCTTCGAGCGCTCGCCCGTCAGAGCCGCCTTGGCGCCGCCGCCTCCCGGGCCGCCCCGGCCTCGCCTGGCCCCTCCGCCTCCTCCGAGCGGCTCAGCCTCACCCCTTCCCTCCCACCGCTCTGGGGGCTGCACGAAAATTTAAAAAAAGGAATAAGAAAAATTCCTTTTTTTCTTTTTTTCCTTCTTCAAGGCAGAGGTTTTTCGATGTTAGGTTTTTTTTTTTCTCCCTTCCTCGGCTCGCACTCACCTGCGGGGCCGTCGGCAGGGCTGGGGGCGGGGGTGCGCGGGGCTGGAGCCGCCGAGCGCGGGTTGAAAGCTAGCCAAGCTCTGCAGCGCCCGACCCGGGCGTGTACGCCGCCGCCAGTCCCCGCAGAGAAATCGTCCTCCTACCCCCGCCTCCATCGCTCTGCGTTTCTCTTCCAATCAGCCGGTCGCTTGGCGGCTCCTCCAGTCTCCGGCCAAGCCAGCTGCCTAGAGCGAGCTCCGCTCCATCTGCTCGCCCGACTCCTCGCTCCCCTGCCGGGGCGGGCGAGGCAGCTTGAAGCCGGAGGGGGATCTGTGAGGGATTCTGTCTGTTCTCTCGCTCCCATTGCTCCATCCCCGCTCTCTCCTGCCTCCTCCTTCTCTCCTGCGTTTTTCCAACTCTCCCCTGTCGCCACTGGTGTGTGTCTGAGTGTGTGTGCGCGCAGGTTTTGTTTTTTTTTTTTCTTTTTTTATTGCTCTGCTTTTGCAACCCTGAAGCTAAAGCGGGGTGGGGGCGATGGAGGTGTTACAAAGATGAAAAAATAAAGACGCTCCTAGGTTTGCAACACATCGAAATACCGGGGGAAGCACCCCGCCTCGTTCGATCTCGATGCCCCGCGAGGGCCTTCCGGGTTTCAGAGCGAGTCTTTCGTTGTTCTCGATGCCCCCCATCTTCAACGGCCTTAGGATCCAAGGAGTTAGCAAAAAGTTCTCCCCTGGGTCGTAGGAGACTGTCATTGGGAGTTGGGAAGATTTTAAGACGCAGCGGAGCGGCCATCCGTTCTATCCCGGCTTCCGTAACTAGGCCGCGGCCCGGGTGGGGGTTTAGAGCAAAATCCCGGCGCGTTTGTGCGAAGGATCTGGAAGGGGGAAAATCATAACCGGGAGCGGAGCTTCTTGCGTCTCCCCTTGGTCTCTGCCTCCAGTCGCCTGCTAGCTCCCCCTTCAATTTTTTTTTCCTCCTCTCCTTTAATCTAATTTCTTCCAACTCCACCTTTGTTGTTACCAGCGTCACGCCTGGATCAGCCAATCCCCTTCTTGCAATCAGCTTGTCAAAAAGGCTCGGCCAGCCCTGAGAAAGCAGGCCGCGGGCGCTGCCCCCTCCCCGGCAGCGGTGGGGAGCCGGATAGAGAGTTCGGCACCCCTGTCCTAGGGCAGGAGCTGCCACCCGGGCACCGGCGTTCGAACCTCCCGCATTCCACCATCCAGCAAATCTGAGGAGGAAAGGCCTGGGCGTGTACGACTTTCTGGTCTCGCACCGCCAACGGCTATTAGTGGGCTTCGCCTCCCCTGCTCAGCTGAAGGGATGTCAGGATTAGACCAAGGGAGGGAGAAGGAGACGTGAAGGACGCCCGCTTCCATTAGGCCAGCCCACGCATGGTTTGTGCCATCGCTCCCTGGGCAACGCCATTGCTCCTGGCTCCTTTGCTGCCACAATAACGCTGCTGTTGCTCACATCGCAGCCAGCTGGGTTGCACTGTCTCTGGGCTATTCCTTGGCACACTGCCTTCTCCTTCCTCACAGTTTCGCTGCTGGTGTAGTTCCTCTTGTCTCCTGGGGGAAATGAGACTCGCAGGACTTCCACGTCCCACTTCTGCCACGTTTCATGAATCGAAGTGTATCTAAGTCTGATGTGGCCGGCTAGGAGGCACAGGATGTAGGAGAGACAGATTGATAATAGTTAATGAAGTTTAGGCTTCAAGGCCCCTTGCCTGGAAGGAAGGTCTACCGATGGGTCTGTTCCCAAATTATTTTAATATTTTGTTTTTTAATAAAAAGTCTTCCTCCAGGCCAGGCAGTGGTGGCACTTGCCTTTAATCCCAGCACTCGGGAGACAGAGGTAGGTGGATCTTTGTGAGTTCGAGGCCCTCCTGGTCTGTAAGAGCTAGTTCCAGGTTAGCTAGGACTGTTACACAGAGAAACCCTGTCTCAAAAATAAGTAAATAAAAGTCTTCCAAATTGTACATTTAGAGCCCCACCAGTCCAGCTCTGCCTTCGGAATATGCACTAGGCATTTTGTATGGGATCAAGCCATCTCCTGCTACACTAAAAAAGCAAAGCATGGAATGTACTTATCTATTTTGGCAAGGGCAGCGTAAAAGGTATAGAATTAAAGGGCCCAGGTGTCAGCCTTGATGGTCCGCGCCTTTAGTCTCAGCACTTGAGAGACAGGTGGATCATTGTGAGTTTAAGGCCAGCCTGGATTACACAGAGCTTTCAAGAAAAGCCAGGGTTGCTCACTTCCTTTTCCCAGTCCCCCCTTTTGTTTTGTTTTTGCTTTTTGAGGCAGGGTTTCTCTGACTAGCCTTGGCTGTCCTGGAACTCTGTAGACCAGGCTGGCCTCAAACTCACAGAGATCCACCTGCCTCTGCCTCCCTAGTGCTGGGATTAAAGGCCTGTGCCACCACTGCCTGGCCCACCCCACCTTAAATACTGTGTGGGTTTGGACAAATTCCGCCCTAACCAGATCCCAATCTTAGAATGAGGATCTGCTTCCTCATCAGGGATTGGAAGGTTAAGTGAGATGGTGTAAGTCAAACTATAGATCTCTCCGTATATGGTACTGCCCACAATTAAAGCCAGAGAAACACACCCCAGTATTGTCCAAATGTTCCATGGACAGATCTGGAGCGCAGGTATTCTGGCTTCTTGCCCTGAGTTTCTTGGCTGAACCAAGGGGCTTTTCGGTAACGTGCTTTGGAATAAAACGGGATGAACATGAATCATAAGGATTATTATTATTGGTTCCTTGGGCAGCAAAAATCGTGGCTGGCACCTTTTCCTACTTGGAAACCATTTGGCTTCTTTACTTCTGTTGAGTTTCTGGTGAGGTCAGGAGTCCACGATTTGGGCTGCAGGCCACAGAGGGAATGAATCTGCCCTCGGCCCTCATTCTCCACACCTTTCCCTGTGAGTCTCCTCCCAGCTTTCCTGCTTTCTGGTATTTGCCTTGAAGCAGAGCTTTGACATTCCATAATCCCAGCCTGGGCTAGTGACAAAGCAGCCTGCTAGCTGCACAGCCCAAACAAAGGCTCAGAGTTCCTTGAATACTTAGAAGCAAAATGTAGTTCAGTTGTTGTACAAAGAAAAAAACTTTTTTTAAAACAAGATTTATTCCGAGCGGTGGTGACACAGGCCTTTAACCCCAGCACTGAGGCTGAGACAGGCAGATCTCTGTTAGTTCAAGGCCAGCCTGGTCTATGAGAGCTAGTTCGAGGATAGCTAGGGCTGTCACACAGAGAAACACTGCCTCAAAAAACCAAAAAGGAAAAAAAATTATTTTTATTTATGTGTATGTGTGTATATCTATAGGAGTGTATGCCATCAGACGAGGGTGTTGGGTCCCTTGAACCTGGAGTTGCAAGTGCCATGTAAAGATACTTGTGGGAGCCGGGTGGTGGTGGCACACGCCTTTAATCCCAGCATTTGGGAGGCAGAGACAAGCGGATCTCTGTGAGTTCAAGGCCAGCCTGGTCTACAAGAGCTAGTTCCAAGACAGGCTCCAAAGCTACAGAGAAACCCTGTCTCGAAAAACAGGATATGTGGATATTAGATCACACTGTGAGACTGCATTAAAAAACGTGGATGGGGGGAGCGGAGCAGGTAACTCGTTGATAGGAAATGAGCCATAGAGAAGACTGAGGAGTCAGAAATGTGGATAGAGAGACTAACAGGAAGTAATAGGGAGAGGCGGAGAGTTTCAAGTTCATTTTTGTTTGTTTTGTTTCAGTTTTTTTTTTCTTTAAGGCAGGGTTTCTCTGTATAGCTTTGGGGCCTCTTCTGGCACTCACTCTATAGACCAGGCTGGCCTTGAACTCACAGGGATCTGCCAGCCTCTGCCTCCTGAGTGCAGGGATTAAAGGCGTGGGCCACCACCTGTTTTTGTTTTTGCTTTGTTGTTTTCTCCTTTGAGAGAAACTTCTCTTGCTAGGGCTCTGGCCAAAAATAAAGGTCAGTTGATTGCTTCTCAGCTTTTCTGATCTAGCAGGTTTTCACCCCAGCATCTGACTCCTGATTACTGGTAAACAAAATGATAGAGACTTACTTACATTTGGTAGCCTCGGAAATCCTGCCAAGTCACAGTCTAAACAGTGGGGTGCTGGCTTCAGGACTGAGGACACAAGCAGTAGTTAAAATATAAGTAGATTCAAGTGAGACTGCTAACTGCAGAAAAAAACAGCATACATATTATGTAAGAATATATATAATGTAACCATCAATCAGATCAAAATATTATTTCCAGTATCTAGCAAGCTCACTCAGCCAGTATTCTCCAAATGTCCGCTGCATTCTGTGTTCTATCTCCATAGATTACAGTTTGGTAGATTGCATAGTATTCCATTGCATAAATTACCACAATTTGTGGGGCGTGGTGGCACACGCCTTTAATCCCAGCACTCGGAAGGCAGAGGCAGGCAGATCTCAGTGAGTTCAAGGCCAGCCTGGTCTACCGAATTCCAGGACTGCCAGGGCTACCAGAGAAACCCTGTCTCCAAAAACAAAACAAAAAAACCCTCCTTAAACCGGGCGATGGTGGCGCACGCCTTTAATCCCAGCATTCGGAAGGCAGAGGCAGGCAGATCTCTGTGAGTTCGAGACGAGCCTGGTCTACAGAGCTAGTTCCAGGACAGGCTCCAAAGCCACAGAGAAACCCTGTCTTGAAAAACCAAAAAAAAAAAAACCCAAAAAAACCCTCCTTAGTACTGGGATTAAAGGCATATACCACCACCCGGATGTCATTTTCTTATTATTACAGTTTTTTTTTTTATTGGTTCTTTGGGAATTTCACATCATGTATCTCAATCCCACTCATTCCCCAGTCCTTCCATGTTTGCCCTCCACCCTTGTAGCCCCTCCAATAAAGAAAATTTTAAAAAAGAAAAAAATAATTTTTAAAAAGAAAGAGAGAATACATCCACTCCTCCGTCTTTTCCACCTCTCCGTCATATAGCATCTGTCCTAGTGGCCTTGGTAGCTTCGGTGTGTCACAAAGTAGACCAGTTTTATTTGCAAAATATTCATTGCAATGAGTTGTTGATCTGGTTCAAGGCCCCTGGCTTCTGGTACGCCATCAGTACTGGACTGTCACTGAAACTTCTCTGGGATATCCGTCTGTTGTTACAGTCCTGAAGCACCTGTGGCAGTAGTTCCACAGGACCAGTCCCTTCATGCTCTCCAGGGGGCATAGATGGGATATTGGGGTGGGCCAACTCAAAGCCCTGGCTGTGGGCCTGGATGGTAGTTGAGTTTGTCAGCCTGGGCCTCTCCATGGACTCGCCCTCCCCAGGAGAGGGTCAGGGCCAACTCTCCTGCACAGATGATGAGAGGTGGGGACAGCTTTTCCAGGTGCAGGGTCAGTTCTGTTGTGGCAGCCATCCAGACAAGAGGACAACTCTCCTAAGCCCACAACTCTGGGGCCAGTTCTCCTGCTGAGGTGGCCAGCGGGTGGCACGACCTCCAGTGTCAGGCCGCTGGGGCCAGTTCTTCCATGGCTCCTGATGGGAATGTGGGCCATGGACATCATCACAGACCCTGGCTGCTTCAGTAGGGCAATGGACCCAGACATGGCCCCTGGCTGAAGCTCAGGCAGTGACACAAGCCACTCAGATCAGACCAGTATGGCCCTGGTGGCGCTGTGAGGTGTGTGTGAGGGAAGAACCCAACCCCCAAAC